AGGTCGCACATGAATTACCTTTGTGGAAAGTTCATACAGAAAAATATTATTTCTTGGCATGGGATATGCAAAGTGCAGTACAATACCTTTTGAGCGACTTCCACAAGATGCAAACGAGTCATGCCACAAAATAATTAGTAGCAGCCCGAACTTTTGTTAAAGCAGAGTCAAGGATTTTATTTAGTATTTTATATTACAATTCGACCTTGTAATATCCTCAAACAGACATAAAGTTAAGGTCCGAAATTATAACATGGATGATACTAAATCGTACATTTGGGAAGAATATATATATACATATATATTGTGTGTTTTGAATATTATTTAGATATAATTCCCATATATATTATAGTCCGACTTTAGGTAAATTTTACTACTTTCCTTACTGGTTTTACTTACATACTTGACATCATTTATGAAAAACACTATGGTACATCTCTACTAATTGAAAACATATGTTTATTGCTAAGGAAAAGCCGCGAGAAATCGTACATGTTAAAGTTGTATTTGACAATAACATTAGATATTAATTTCGCCGAATTTTGTGTGATTTCTGTTATTGAACAAACAGTTCAATTCAGCGGGTATCGGATAATTGGTTCCTCGGCTAATTGAACAAAAAATTGTGCAAATTTTTATGTGCAATTAACAGAAAAATACTGTACTCTTTTTCATTACATGTAATTTAGAAATTGTCGGCATTTCTTCTGCATCGAAAGCTACAATGTGCGCTCCATTCGAAGACCGTTTCCATTCGAAGACCGTTTCCTAGGCTACCAGTATACCATGTTTCACTTCGAGTACGATAAATGGGTATACCTTTCCCCCCTATGAGGATATCAATTGGGGCACTTCTGAAAATTCCGGTTCAGCAAATTTCAAATTTGGCAATTCTTTTCTGTTTATGTAGTTAAACGAATGAGTGGCGTGATATCCTCCGACGCACAGTGTCACGACCGCGTCCAAAAATGGTCAAAACCAAGTACCTCTGAGGGCAAATTTTTTGATGAGGTATGATAGAAAACACTCCAATTAGAATAAATATGACATTTTATATCGATATGTCGAGTAGTTTTGTCTCTACAAAGGTTCAAATCTGATAATTATTTTTAAACTGATTTTTTACCATATTTTCGAAAAATGGGTGTGTTTTTCTGATGCTCAAATATTTGAATATCCAAATTAACGGTTATTATAAAAGTGTTTATTTTGGTTGCTGTGGATGTTAAAAACTAGGATTCGCTGTAGTTTGTATGTATACAGATATCATATGGTGTATACAGTGTCCACACTTGTAGTACATAGTTCATCAAATTTGTAAAGCATATTTTGAAATTAGTGGAGCAGAAAAAAAAGTTTAAAAAAAGTTAGCTCCAATTTTTTTTATTTGAGTGGTGAAAAGTGTGTCATTTAAGGAATAACAAAAATTAGCTGCGGAGACCTGCGGTCCTAAGAGTTATTTAACTTTTTGGGGGACCACCTTATAAAAAATATGGCATATTCATGAAATGGTTAGAAGCGAATGGTCCAATATGTTATGTATACAATTAAATAAGTCATTGAGGACCAAATAGGAAGCACACGATGGATTCAGAACATAGTAATCATACAATATTTTGCATACAATTTTCGATTACGTGGTAAAAACGTTATTCGATGCGGAGATATGGGAGAATTGGTTTTAAAATATGGCTTTTAAATAAATTTTCAGTCAATTTGAAGATTAATCTTATTTATCAGATTATTTGAGACATAATCTTATATGTAATCTAAATTTAGAGGTCGCACATGAATTACCTTTGTGGAAAGTTCATACAGAAAAATATTATTTCTTGGCATGGGATAGGCAAAGTGCAGTACAATACCTTTTGAGCGACTTCCACAAGATGCAAACGAGTCATGCCACATAATAATTAGTACCAGCCCGAACTTTTGTTAGAGCAGAGTCAAGGATTTTATTTAGTATTTTATATTACAATTCGACCTTGTAATATCCTCAAACAGACATAAAGTTAAGGTCCGAAATTATAACATGGATGATACTAAATCGTACATTTGGGAAGAATGTATATATATATATATATATATGTGTTTTGAATATTTTGTGAATGTTACAGGAACATTTTCATGGAATTTGTATTAATAAAACCAATTTTATAGGTCAAAAAATCTGATTATTCAAGACCCTTTGTATGGGAGGTATATCAAATCTTGGTCCGATCTACCCAGTTTTTGGTTCGTTGCTTTATAGGCATAAGTAAATATAAATTGCCAATTTTCATTGAATTTGGTTGAATATTAAAGATTATATAGCCCAAAATAGTAAAATTTTCAAGACCCTTTGTATTGGTCCAATTTTTCCAGTTTTTGGTCAGTTGCTTTATAGGCCTAAGTAAATTTCAAATTTTCATTGAATTTGGTTGAATATTAAAGATTTTATAGGCCAAAAAGGGTGACATTCTTAAGACCCATTGTATGGGAGGTATACCAAATCTTGGTCCTATCTATCCAATTTTTTGTATTGCCAATAATAAGCACATGTACCAAATTTCATTAACATACGATAACTCCTTCTATTTTTGGCCGCTGTTTATATGAACTCGCGACATAGTGCGACGTCAGGATCCACTAAAGCATCGATATCTAAAGAAAAGTTCGTCCTCTGATGGACGACAATAATCCTCTCCGCTGGAGTCCCATTTCGAAGTGAGAGATCTAATTCTGCAGTCGACATATATAGTCACCGGTCCCGTATTATCGGCAGTAAGTGTTTTTACTATCTCGGTCTAGTGGTTGGAGATTCAAGATCGCATTCAAGGCTGCCTGTGGTGTACTTCTTGGCGCTCCGGTCATTCAGGCTCGAAGCCAATCGCTGTACTGAATTTAATTTTGTCAGCAGTATCTTTTTGTTGACAAGGCAACCATATGTAAGAATGGGGAGAACGACCGTCACATGCAGCCAGTGTCTCTGGTCTTAATCCCCAGCTCTTTCCTATGGAGTTCTTGAGTAGAGTGCTAACAGTCCTTTATTAGAGCGTTCCTCAATTTGCGGTCAAGGATTGTACCAAGGTATTTTGTTTCTTCGGAAAGGGATAGGGTCACTCCTCCAAAGATAATAAACGGAAACTAGGAGTCTTACGTTTCCTAGTGAATACCACCAATTCTGTCTTAGTGGGTGGGGTTCACACCAAGACCCTTGGCGTGTGCCCATTTAGACAGAGTTGAAAAGGCGCCCTTCATAATATCTGAAATTGTCATTAGAAATTTCCCACCAACCAGCAAGACTACATCATCGGCATAGGCTACAACCTTTATTTTAAGATGATCGAATTTCAGCAGTATCTCATTTATCACCAGAAGCCATAGAAGGAGAGATAGTACTCCCCCTGTGGAGTGCCTCTGTTGACAGATTTCCTCACGGAACTCTCTCCTAAGGATGAGCTGATAATTCTACTTTCCAGCATTCTATCAATCCAACCACCTCGTGTAAGGCCGTATCCACTGATTTGCCTTTGATGTGTGCATTCCTGGGAGTTGCTAATTTTGCTTTGATCAATAGTATTTCTAATTTCTGAGTCTAGTAACCTTTCTAGAGTCTTGAGTAGAAAGGAAGAGAGGCTAATCACTCTATAGTCCTTTGGTAGTGTATGACTCGGCTTCCATAGACTAGGGGTATGTACGATAAAAGCAGACAAGCCCTAAAAATGTCTTGCAGAGAGGCGAATCCTCGTTCATCTGCGTGCTGCAGCATGGCCGGTTATACCATACGGACCTGGAGATTTATAGGGTTGGAAACTATTTATCGCCCATACCAGTTTTGGGTAGCTTATAGTGTTTTCTATCAGCTTCTCCTTCTCCCTCGTTCGAACCATATGCTGATGCGCACACTGCACACCCTGATTATGGTTCTTACAACCAGGGAAGTGTTCTTTATAAACGTCCCAATCTGTACTGAGTTTTATCTTACTAGCTCTATTGTATGCTTTCCTTGCAGCTCTAGGATGCAAGGTTTTGTGACCACCATACTGGCTGCGATTTTTTCCCATGGTATGTTAAAGGACATGAAGCCTTATAGCTCTTCAGAAGAGTGACCGTGACATTGTTCACAGCTTCCTCAACATCCTCAACCGTTATGAGATCTTTATGACCCAGGATTGAGGCTGCTGTTTTTGCTTTGGTGTATTGCCCTATTACATATTCTAAGATTATAAATAAGTATAAAATCAAAAATGGACCCACATCTCGTATTGGGTTGCTGCTTTCCCAGTGGAAGTGATGTGCATTGGCATCACAACCGATGATAAGATCACCAGTGCTACTCATCTCCTCCATTAAGGGGCGTACATCAATACCGGGCGGGTCAGGAACCTCATAGGGGCTACCCCTATCCAGCCTGACTGTGGTCATATCACCATTGTTGAAATTAGAGAGAATCATTAAATAAAGTTCTTTTATTAGCTATACATGCCTATAAGTACATTTATAATGTTTTGAAGTACTCAGAGTTAGATTTAAAACTTTTTGTAAAAATATGACTCATAATTAATGAGAGAATTTTTTGTTAACTTCATAATCTACATAGCGCTCGAATATATATTATACAGTAACACCTGCAGTGTCGTAATGGTACTCCAGTTACATCAATCAATTCACAAAGGGGAAGTCAAGCATGACACAATATGAAACGTGTAAATAATTAAAATAATTTTTGAACAACTTTTTGGATTTGACATTAGCGCATTATTAAATAATTCTTTTTTATAATGGATTATTATTTTAATTAAAGTTTAAATGAAATTATAATCCACTTTAAATTTATTTGATTTTAAAAAGTTCATTCCAATTACAAATAGTTTAGATTCATTTTTAAGATGTTCGATCTAATTTCTAAAAGGTTTCAATTAATTTCTAAAACTTTTCATTTAAATCTAAAATGTTTCATTTAATCTTCAAATGGTGTATACTTATATATTTATATATTGTTTATTTTGTTTTTTTAGGGCCAAGCCACAGACATTCAAATACAGGCGGAGGAAATATTAAAGTTAAAGAAGCAATTAACAAAAATTTATGTAAAACACACTCGGCAACCTTATGACGTTTTGTATCAACGAATGGAAAGAGACAATTTTATGTCTCCAGAAGAAGCAAAAGAACTTGGACTTATCGATCAAATATTAGAGCACCCACCTGAAATGTCTCTAGGTGATGAAGAAAAATAATAAAAAAATTAAATATATTTTCTTTGTGTATACTTGAAGTATTTTATTATATTGTTTGTGTGTCACAGAAGTCTTAAATAAATATATATAGGGTAAAGGAGCATCTTTGAATAAGTTGCACATAAGAACAACGCTGATAAAATTGTTTTGTTTTTTCTTCGATCGTTCCCACGCCTCTCTTACCCGCCCCTGCCGACCGAGGGGGCCACCTCCTCTTGACGTAAGGAGGACTATGGAGGGTTGTAAGGGTAGGGAATTACAGCCTACAATAAATTCAGCCGGTAATACTAAAATATACTTTATAAAGACAAACAACAGTTATAAAGAAGCATTTTGTACAAAAAAGAAAAATACACAAATAGTATCAAACTACATATGTAAAATAGATTTTTTTATTATTTCTATAGTTTCATCGAAAGGAATATGATTATACAGTTTATTATAGACATCACAAATCGAACGAAATGGATTGCTTAATTCATAATTAGATTTTGCTAACGTAAGTTTAAGTGGAATATAGTTCCGCGTATTACGTGATGGTAAATTTATTTTTATTTCACCAACCAAATAACTTGAATCTATTTGGCCCCTTAACAGCTTTGTAATGAATATAGCTCTTAATGCTTAGAGTGTTGGAAGATCTATGAGTTTTAATCTATTTTCATAGGGGGAGTGCTAAGTTAACATTCCATGGTAAACGCCTAAGAGCAAATAGGAGAAATTGTACTTGTACAGATTCTATTTTATCGGAATAACATTTATAGAACGGGCTCCAAAGTACACAACCATATTCCAAAGTAGGTCTAACTAGAGTGACAAAGAGCCGTTTGGTCACGTAAGGATCATCAAATTCTTTTGACCACCGTTTTATAAAGCCCATCAATGATTTAGCCTTATTAACACAGGAATCAATATGTAAATGAAAACGTAGTCGATTATCTAGGATAACACCCAAATCGACAAACGAGTCAACATTTTCAAATTTATAAGTTCCTATAGAATAATCACAAGGAATATGTTTGGTTCTGAAAAATGATAATTTTTTGCATTTCTTAAGATTTAGCGTCATACCATTAATGCTACACCAATTTGCAAGGGAGTACAGATCGTTTTTCAAATATATATACACCTAATTCTGTTTTTACACGAATTTGAAATAACACGAGTAAATACGAAAAAATATTTATATTTTTACACGACATAATTTGAAATAACACGAATACAAAAAAAAAAAAAAAACAAAATTACTTTTTTTACATGAACTATTTATTTATTGAAGAAAATTCTGGAATGCTTTTGCTCAAACATCCCTGCCTTAATTAGAGTAACAACCCTGCATGGCATGAATTTCTGATATGGCAACATTTTATATAATTCTGGTGTGTGTTCTGAGTTATGTCTATGTATGCGTAATTTCTGTTTTACGGGAAATAATGGGTTAACGCGAAATAAAACTCAATGTAAGATAACTGATTTCGTTCAAAAATCTACTGATGTCCCAACACAGTCGGTTAGAAATGATAATGATCAACAAAATCATTCCAGTGATGGCAGTGATATTGTAGTCTTTCGCAAACGTTTACGTTTATTATCAGACAGTGACAATAAATAAAATTGTTTAATGTTTAAATTTTTCTTATGGTTGTACTTTATGCTATTTAAGTTTTTTGGCAATGAATTTCTGGTATTATTTTTTTTTATGAAATCTAAATTTTAATTTATTTTATTATAATTTAGTTTATTTAATAAATTAAAACGAAAATAAATTCTTTAAATAACTACAACAATAATTTTTTATATTATTTAGTCTAATTTTAACTTATTTTTTGAGGTCTAGAAACAATCTATTATTTTTGTAGTTGGCCAGTATCTATTTTTACACGAATTTCTCGCGAACCATTCTATCGTGTAAAAACAGAATTAGGTGTACATTGATAATAAGGATGGGAAGCCTATAATATCGAGTTTGTGCAGTAATAGTTTGTGTACGACAGTGTCAAAGGCTTTACTAAAATCTGTATAGATTACATCAGTTTGAAGTTTATTTGCATAGCCGTTATGAATGTAATTTGTCAGCTCTATAAGATTTGTTAATGTTGATCTACCAGTTGTAAAGCCAGTTGATAAGGAGATACTATAGAGGCAACTATATGGGATAATCTACGTGTAACTAGTAATTCAAAAAGCTTTGGTATATCACTTAATTTCGCAATCCCTCTGTAGTTTTCAATGTTACATCTACTACCAGATTTATGATGGGGAATTATAAAACTAGATCTCCAAAATTGAGGAAAATATCCTAAAGATAAAGAAGCATTGAAAATATGAGTAAGAGGGAAATATAATTCATATGCACATGACTTAAGAATACATGCTGGAACCCCGTCGGGACCTGGAGTTTTTGAGTTTTTAAAGACCTTAGTCCATGAAAAACGTCTTGCTCCTTGAGAACAAAATGCTGAAAGTGGTTTATTTTTTCGATAACATAATTGTAGGGAGAGTTGTGTGAAAATTTAGAATAAGTGCTTTCAAAAAAATCGGCAAACATATTTGAAATTTCTGAACCATCCGAGGATTCTCTGCAGCCAAATTTCATATAGCTTGGAAACTCACGAACCTTACGTTTAGAGTTTACAAAATTATAAAAGTTTTTAGGATTATTTTTAAGACTAGTTTTCATTATATTTAAATAGATTGAATAACTCCTGGAGTTTTCAAGATTATAGATATTCCTTGCCCTTAAGTAGTTAGCATAATTCAACGAGGAGTTAAATTTTTTATACTTTTTATACAGCCTACTTTTAGAATTTCGCAGTCGTTTCAGGTATTGAGTAGACCATGCAGGTTCTCTATCAGAATTGTTACTTGATAAGGGGACAGATATTGAAAGCGCATCATGTAGAAGTTTATAAAAAAAATTTGCACTCCAATCAGTATTAGACAAAGTTTCTTGAAGCAATGTTATGTTTGTTTTAGTAAAGTTCAATTTATTTTTTTATTTGTTAAAGTGACATTTGGCTGTGGATTATGTTCTAATTCAATGCTTAATGTATTTATCTTCCGCCTCTTCAAAAGTCAAACATCTAGCTAATGAAATATTTGTAGTTGTAGTAAAAACTAAATCTACAATTTTATTTTTACAATTTCGGATATTATTTATTTGAACTAAACATAAATCATAAATACATTCCTAAAACAAATCCATGCAGCTAGATGCTATTGGCACATAGTCAATAGCATTTTCTCCACGGATCCAAGAAATGTTGGGTAGATTAAAGTCTCCAAGACAAATCAATTCAAAGTTTGTTAAATATGAAGACGAAATATCTTAAATTAGTTAAATATGTTTTAGATAAATATCTAAATCAGAATTTGGAGCAATATAGGAGCACGTTAAAATTAATGAAATATTTGATAATTTTATTTTAATGCAAACTAGCTCAATGTTAGGATGATCAGGTAATTGAAGGCGTTCAGAAGCTATGGAATTATGGACCGCTATTAGCACTCCACCACCTATTTTATTAATTCGATCATTGCGATATACTTGATATTGAACAGAAAAAATTCACTGTCGCGGATATCTGGTTTAAGCCATTTTTCTGTTAAAGCAAGAATTTTATATTCATAGTCAAAATACTTTTGTTAATGACCTATTTTTTCTTCATGACGCTCTTCAGCGTCATGAAGAAAAATCCAAAAACGTAGGGCTTTTGGAGAGGAATGCTTGTTCAAGTTTTTTATACCTATATAACAGTAGAGGAATTCAAATGGTTACAAAGAAAGCCCAAGCTTCCAACACGAACTAGACAACCTGGAACGTCAAGGACGGCTGCTTTGACGAATTTCTACTACGATTTCGACACACTTACAAGAAAGTGTGAGAAGGTAAGTATAAAATTATATCGTTGGCCATAGAGATCAAATAGAAGATATATTACGTGTCAAGGTTGCACTTTCCCAACCACTTTAGGTTTCTAACTATGCTGTAGATTAGAGTAGGTTCAGTTGTTGAGAAGAAACCAATGGGTCGATTATGGAAAGCAACCTAACTCCAGTTGCGAGTTCAACTGGCAATGCAATTGAAATAAAACTTAACATTATGAATATCAACTTTTCTCAGTTGCTGTCGATAATACTGTTTTGACATTTCTACAACTAGAAATACTGTAAACAAACAAAAAACGAATAAAATATTTCAGAAAAACTAATTATATGTGATGATAAGCTCAGTGGAACTATTTTTTGATGATGAAAATTATGCTCAAGGTGTGTCATTTATTAGAAGGCATTTAAGAGATATATCTATTAGAACTTTGAGTAGATGCTGACGTTTAGAGAAATGTTCAATCAATCCGGCTTATAGAGGAAAAACTGTGTAAAATTTTGATAGTATCCAAATTAACGGAGGAGGAAAAAGGGAAGAATAAATTTTTTTATTCGAAAACTAAGTTCCAGGGTGTGGTCGGATGCATTGATGATACACACGTACATATCATGGACCCAAAAGAAGATGTTCGCCACTTTCTGCCATTCATTTGGAATGCGTGTTGGTGGGCCATAGCATATACGGTCTTCTGAAATGTCCTTCCACACATCATCGATAGTGGCTTTGGTTTGACCAAAAGTCCGCACGCCGCGTGCTACATTTGGGTGAGCTTCCACCCGGGCAATAAGGACCTCAAATTGTTCTTTTGTAGTAATATTAACCATTATGGGAAGCCTACAAAGTTCAGTTATTATAAACAGCCACCAGAAATAAATGGTTGCCGAAAAATTCTATTTGAAGCAACTGAAGTTGACAACAGTTGCCACCCATAATGCAAATTTGGCAACGCAACTAAACTATGGTTGCCATCCGTAATCGACCCACAAGACTCGGTGGAAGCCAGGACTGGACAGTAACACATGAGATGCTCAATTGTATCCGTCTCCTCCTCGTCAACAGTAATCATTTGCATCGTGGTTCCATTTACTTGTAAAGGCCCTGATATTGCAAC